CTCTGCCTCCCGAGTGCTGGGATTAAAGGTGTGCGCCACCACCGCCCGGCCAAGCAAAGGTCTTGAAATGTAGCCTTGGCTCGCCTCAAACTCCCTTGTAGACCAGGCTGGCTCAGCTTTGCACTCACAGAGATCCCCCTGCCTCTGCCCCCAAGTGTTGGGATTAAAGGTGTAAGCCACCACATCTGGCTTCAAGGATACCTTTTAAACTAAAATGTTTAGTAAATTGGAAAGTTGTTTTTCGTGCTGTGGGAGATAGAACCTGGGGCCTCCCACGTGCTAGGCAAACCCTCCACCCCGAGCTACATCCCCAGCTCATGGGTACCTTTTAAGGTCACAAAGGTAGAGGGGTGGATCCCCTAGGGCTGTGACTGAAGGGGCTGGAAGGGTGGGGAGGCCCCTGGTACCTCAAGAGCAACAGGATCTGATGGCCACATCGTCCCCACAGCTTGGTTCAACTTCCCTTCGCTCTTTCACCATGCAGGGACCTGAGGGGACAGTCTAGTGGTGCAGTCTCTCTGGCATGGGGTCAGGGGTGAGGCTGCATCCTACACACCGGTTTAGGATCCCCTCCCAGGTCTGTCCCTCGGGGCTAACCACCAGAGAGCTCAGGGTTGGGGGTGGGAGGCCAGGAGCAGCAAGTATGTGGATCAGTGAGCCGGTCCAGTCCAGTGCAGGGCCAGGAGACGTCAGCCTCAGGTCAGATGTCCAGGTGCAGCCGTTAAGTGAGCCATCTCAGGGGAGACACAGGAGAGCACCTGAGATCCGCTTTAAGGCTGCTGGCCAGTCCTCCAGGGAGGAAATGGCTTCCCTTAAGGACTAGGCTCAAATCAGCTCGGGAGGGGCTGAGACCCCTGACCGGGGCCACTAAGTTCCCCTACTTAAAGGGATCTTCTCAATGACTTTTCAAAGGCAATCCTGCCTTTTCAACCCAAGTAACCGGAGTACGTAGGGCAGTGTGGGGCCATTTCCTCCCCACGACACCTACGTTTCCCAAGTTTGCCTCAAGTGATCCCCTTATCCTCTGAGGTAAGCTGGCACTGTGGTTGAAAGCAGCCACACCTAAGGACGTGTGACCTAGGACAGGGGCTGCCCCTGGGAGTTCAGCGGCTTCCCTGTCAGTTCCTGTAGATGGCAGCGGGGTCATGAGAAAGCGAAGGGGTTCAAGGTACTGGGCACTCCAGTGTGCTCGGCGGCTCAGAACAGAATATCCCACTCTTCCCCGTCTGGAGCGTTCACTTTCAGCTGCCCCACCCTTCCCCAAACGAGGAAGCTGCACAGGATCGGGCGGAGTGGGACATTTTTGGTGTTCGGCAGGTGTGTGTGGGCGGGGCCTTCACCGCACACACCATCTTGAGTTTCTGATGAGCTAGGGCTCCTAGGGGGTAATGGGGGGGGCAGGAGACGGTCCAGATCTGAGTTGCTGACCTAGATGAAGGGGTGCAGACAGTGCCCTCATGCCTGCCAGACTCCAGAGCTCTGCCAAGGTCCCTCCTGTCCCCTCCCCTGTAGGCCTTCCTGTCACTCAACCTTGTGCAACCCTGACCTGGGGGAGAAAGGGACAGAAATCTTGCCAAGTATTTCAGCAGGACATGCTGGCAATTACCTCACACTTCCTGGACTTGGTAAAGGATGGACCCCCCCCCCCAACACGGGGGCTGGCAGCCAGGTGGCCCATAAAGAGTCTCCCTGGGGAGTCCTCCTCATTCTCTTCCTCCTCCTCCTGCCTACTGGGCCCAGTCCGGTCACTGCTGAAACCATGGCCCTGGGTGTCCTGTGTCTAGCCACCCTCACCCTGCTTGGGGTCCTGCAGAGCCAGGCCCAGGACTCCACTGAGAACTTGATCCCTGCTCCATCTCTGCTCAAGGTCCCGCTGCAGCCAGGCTTCCAGAAGGACCGGGTAGGAACCTGGAAGGGCAGCTGCAGGAGGGAGTGGGGGAAACGGGGAGCAGATGGGAGAAGCCAGGCTTCATGGGCGGCACCGGGTAGGGTGGATGGAATTCTGGGAGTCCAGGGTTCGGGTTTCACTCACCCTGCACGCCTGCCCGTGGAAGCTGTACCTCATTCTGCTCTGACAGTTCCTCTGACAGAGCATCACAGGGACTAGACCCCCTCTCCCGTAATCGCCACTGTCCATGTAAGGTAGGAATCTCTTCAGTCACTCTGCATTGAGGAAGGAACTGAAGTCCAAGACGCCCCTGCCCAGCACCACCCCATCCTGCCAACGCAGGGCTAACTCCACCTAGGGTCTTATCTAGCCTTGGGGGAGTCTGACTCCTGCCAGTCTGTAGACAGGCCAAGCCTGAGGCCCTGCTGCCCTCCAGCTGGGGTGCCTGGAGGTACCAACAGGGCCAGCGCGGGAGGAGCAGCCTGTGAGGCCATCCCTGGCTCCGTCTGTCATCAGCCCCTTGCAGTTTCAGGGGAGGTGGTATGTCGTGGGCCTGGCAGGCAATGCGGTCCGGAAGGAAGAAGAAGGACGCTTTACGATGTACAGCACCATCTATGATCTGCAAGAGGACAACAGCTACAATGTTACCTCCATCCTGCTCAGGTGAGCCCCGTCACCCGAATCACAGCCAAGGACCTGATCCACCTCTTGCTCTTTCCTCCCCTCCGAGAGCAGGGGTAGATGAAGATTTGGGGAGCTCAGCTCTGGAGGAGGGGATTGAGTGGGACTTGAGGGAAAGCTATATTTGGCCTGAGGGCTAGGAGTGTAGTGCTGAGCTTGGAGCAGGCTGGCAGCTCAGAAAAAACTGCCTTCACTGCCAAGGGAGGGGGCAGAGAGGAGGCAGGGGAAAGAGTGGGGAGCCTTGCCTAGGCCTGGCTGTGTGTGGGGGAGGCCACCCAGGAAGGCACCGGGAGGAGGGACTGTGTGTGCTGGGGAAGGGTCTCAGCAGGGTCAGGCAGGGCACACCCAGAGCGGGAAGGCCCAGGGCATCTAAGATGGGTGGGTGGGGCCTCCCGCCAGGTTTGGGGACAGGCTATTATCGGTTGGATGGACACAGGGGTGGGGGACACCAGAATTCTAGCCCCACCTGTCCCAATCCAAGGAGCGTTCCAGCCTGTGTCACGTCCTTGCTCACGCCCATCTCTCCCACAGGGACCAGCGCTGTGACTACTGGATCAGAACTTTTGTTCCAAGCTCCAGGGCGGGCCGGTTCACCCTGGGAAACATTCGCAGTGAGTCCCAAATGGAGTAGGACTTGTCCCTTGTCCCTCCACCCAGACCTTCTTATGGGGAGAACGTTCTGAAAGTTGGGGAGAAATGCATAGCGCCCCCTTCCTCTTCACCAGGGCAGAACTTATCCTCGTCCTTCACACCTGCAGGTTACCCTAAGGTACGGAGCTACAGTGTACAAGTGGCCGCCACCGACTATGACCAGTTTGCCATGGTATTTTTCAAGAAGATTTCTGGAAAAAAGCAATACTTCAAAACCACCCTGTATGGTGAGTTCTTGGCTGACTCTTAGGGACTCAGCTAAAGGTTGGAATCCCAAGGTCTCAGCCCAGGGAGCGGTCTTTCTGCAGACCTCCACGGAAACCAAGTCTGAGGCCTCACTTACCAGCTGAGTGATCCCGAGGGAGTGCCCTGCGGTCACTCTCTGCCAATCTTGGTTGCAGGAAGAACCAAGGAATTGCCCGCTGAACTCAAGGAGCGCTTTGTCCGCTTTGCCAAGTCTCTGGGCCTTACAGATGACCATATCATCTTCTCTGTCCCCACCGGTAATGGCCAGTGGGGGCGAGGGGCAAGGGATGTGGGGATGTGGGGACTGTCCAGGCTGATACCTACCCCACCAGAGAAAGGGAAGACACAGTCCCCTGCTCTAGCCACTGGGATCCACTTTGAGGTCTGGAAGACCCGGTGACACCCTGGGGTCTATGAAACCCTCAGGGATCCCGGCCCCAAGTTTCCCTTCTGGCAGCTGACCAGGGACATTCCCAGATGAGGATTCCAGGTCCACGTCCAAACATCCTCAGTCTTGCTGCCCCACGCCACTCCCGCCTACAGTCAAAGGTTATTTCCTCTCCAAAGCCTGAACCTTGCTGTCCTGGGCCTTGCCCCACCCCATAACTTGGGAGACATCTTGTTTTCAAGTCGCCTGGGTAGGAGGCTCCAGCCAGGCCCCACAGAGCCACCAGCTGAGGGGCTACCAAGGCCCAGGGGGCAAACAGGCAGAAAGCCTGGGTCCATGAGCCGCTATTGACCTCCCACTCTGCCCTACAGCGGCCCTTAGGGCCCTTCTCACACATTGTTCCACATGGGTCCCTTGGCTCCCCAACCCTGAAAAAAGCCCCAGATATTTTGTAGTTGGGCTAGTCTGGACCTGGGGAAGCACAGGCTCCTGGCAGCCAGAGATCACAAATGCTCGCTCCTCTGCTCTGTTCTGATGAACTTTCTTGCCTACAGACCAATGCATTGACAACTGAACAGGCGGTGAGTGTGGCTGACTGGGATGGGCAGGAGCCGGGTGGGAGGCCAGGGCACAGGGGACTGGGATCTCCAGCTTGTCTCTGTTCCTCCTCTGAACTGTGGGTGTCCTGATTCTGCTATAGTCTCTCAGGTGCCTCCTGTCTGTCCCCAGCCCGAGCTTTCCTGTTTCCAGAGGGCCACCTGCTTACCCCACGATACCAGCGAGCCCCAGATGACTCTTCTTATTGGGCAGCACTGCCCGGCCACCTGTCCCAATGACACCCCCTTGTCTGCTAAATAAATGCTTGTCCCCAGTTCTCTGAGTCTGTGATGCTTGACCCCATAATAATGAGGGAAAAGGCAAAGGGCGGGCTCACACCAGTGTTATTCCAGCATGACGGTAGGGCTGCAGAGAGAAGACTTAGGGAAAAGAAGGCTCCAGAAAGAACTCCAGCCTCCACAGCTTCCACCATCACGGCCACTAACTGCCCCAGTCCCTCCTGTATGGAACAATACCACACTTGCTGTTGTTTTGGCTTGGTACCCTGGTCAAGCCCTGGGCTCACCTCCAGGGCAGTATGAGCTCCTCCATGCCTTGCCTCCAAAGGAGCATCTTGTACTTGGTTACAGCCACAGGTCCCAAAGGGGCAGCCCCTCTGGAACTGGGAAGATGGAAGAGCCTGGAGGGGATATGAGATACAGTCATCCCACACTCATCTGGATCCTGTGATTGCTAGGAGTCTGAGGCCATTTCTCTTCCCCGCTGCCAGAGTGCATGAGGTCCAAATGAACCTCTCTTTCCCATCTCACACACATACATGCTGCCCCTTTCACCGTGGCTGAGGAGATGGGTGTGCCTAGGTGGTGACCACCTACTCTCAGTCCTGCTGGGTGGGGTGGGGGGCAGCACAGACCTGAGACCCAGCTCATCAAATGGTGTTGAAATCTGGGCTGGATTTCAGGAAGATGGCACAGGCTGAGCAGCTAGTGAGGGATAGAGGCTGTGTTCAAGCCCAGAAAGGTTCCAGGATGAGAGGTACATCTAAGGCCTACTGGTTAAAGCGTCAGTGGCTAGCCATGTAAGGAAGCTACACCACACATACTTCACTCCTGGGCTCCAATCTGACTGCAGATCTAATTTCTTTCTTTCTTTTGGGTCAGGGTCTTACTATATATCCCTGGCTGGTCTGGAACTCTATGGCCTTGAACTCCTAAGAGCTCTGCCTGCTTCTGCTTCCAAAGTGCTTCTTTATGTGCATGTTTTGCTTGCTTGTGAACCACATATATGCAGTTCCCATAGAGGCCAGAAGGAGGAGTCTGATCACCTGGAGCTGAAGTTACAGAGAGTCATGAGCCACCATGTGAGTGCTGGGAATTGACCCCAGGTCCTTCAAAACAGACTGTTTTTAAACGCTGAACCAACTCTCCAGTTCTTATTTTTATTTTTTACTTTTAATGACGTGTGTGCATGCGCGTCTGTGTGTGTGTGTGTGTGTGTGTGTGTGTGTGTGTGTGTGTAGATAGGTATGCGCACATGAGCGCAGGTGCTTGAGGAGGTCAGGGGCATTGGATTTCCCTGGAGCTGGCATTACAGACAGGTGTCAGCTGCCTGAAGTGGGTGCCGAGAATTGAACCCAGGTCCTCTGCAAGTGCACTATGTGCTCTTAACTGCTGAGCCATCTTAGATCCAGTTTCTTGTGTTGGATCAAGGAAGTCAGCTTCCCTTAACCTCTCTTGCTTCTGTTGGGCCCTTCAGATCAAACTCTCATGGCACAGATAGGGCTTTGTTTCTTCTTCCTGCTGATGCAAATCGAAATACACGGCCAGTTCCAGCAGCATGAGTTCCGGATGTCTAGGTTTGCATTAGTTACATGGTGTCCACAGGGCCGTGCTCCCTCTGGGGTTCTGGGGAACTGTCCTCTTTCCTGCCTTTCCCAGCTTCACTGAAGTCCCTATGCCGAGAACACCCTGCACCCTGGACTAGCCACTGTGACACCAGAACGACCTGCTGACGCCATGAGGTCTCCTGGTCATTACAGATATAGGGGTCCTGGTAAGTGAGCTTTCCTGGAACACCACCCTGACACTGGGCCGGACCCAGGATCGCTTCTAAATCCAATCCACAAGCGATTCTGGATGGTGACGGTTTTTTTTGTTTTTTTGTTTTTTGTTTTTTTTTTGGTTTTTCGAGACAGGGTTTCTCTTTGTAGCTTTGCGCCTTTCCTGGCTCTTGCTCTGTAGACCAGGCTAGCCTCGAACTCACAGAGATCTGCCTGCCTCTGCCTCCTGAGTGCTGGGATTAAAGGCGTGTGCCACCACCCACCCACCTCACCCCTGGCTGGATGGTGACTTTGTATAGGCCTCCTTTTCCTACCAGTTCATGGAGTGGGAGATGATTGATGCCGGGCTTTATCATGAAGCCTCCTATGATGGACAGACCTTCCGCGGCTCCCGGGGCCACCTACAGCAGGGTATAGCAAGCCCTTTCTGTACAGGAAATCTGACACACAGTCCTTGAGAAGGGCCTCACACTCCTCCCCAATCCATGCTCTATTTATTGGCATGGGTCAAACGGACTGAGCCCTAAGAGAAGTGATAAAGCCAAGATAAGAGGCGGTTGTGCGTCATCTGGGGGAGGAGCGGTGATGGGAACAGAGTTCTGGAAGCTATAGAAAGCCTTGGAAACCGCCTGTCTGATTCTGACCATGCAGAGGGGGCGGAAGCAGTAGGATGGAGCCTGGTAGAAGCCTCAAGCTCTAGCGGGCCAGGGTCTCTACTGCCTGGCCTTCGGTGGGTGCTCCCTCTGTTGACCGCGGGGTCCAGCGGCGGGGAAAGGGACGCGGCTCGGGAGCGAGAGGAGGAGCCTGAGAGCGGACGGGGGCGGAGCCCTGCTTGAGGGCGTGGCCTGTGAAGCCTCTGGGCGGGGCTCGGGGCGGGCCCCGGTGCGCCGCTGCGTTCCACCCTTCCGGCCCCGCGTTCCATCAGCTGCTTGCACCTTCCGCCCAGCGCCGGCTTTCCGCGCGACGGTCGCCAAGTTCTCTTTTCGCGTGGCCTCTGCGGCGCCCGAGCCCGCAATGTCGGGCCCCAACGGGGATCTAGGCATGCCGATGGATGTGGAAATGGAAGACGAGAGTGACAGCTTCGGGGAAGCAGGTGACCCGGGCGGGGGCGGGGGTGCTGCTGAGGCGACCTTTGCTTTGCTAGGGGTACAGTCCTGGGATCTGGAATGGGGCCGGAGAGGAGGGTGTGTGAGGGACTGAAGAGCCATCCCATCCCGTCCCTGGGTGGCTCTGGAGTTGTCCCCACGGCCACCTCGGAGGCAATGGCGAGCACTAGTGAACGGATCCCTGGACGCTGCAAGACTGGGGAACTGGCGCTAACCAGCCCTGGTTACATATGGGGAAACTGAGACAGCTCCAGAGATGCTCGTCGGTTTGGGATTTGCTTTAGCCATTTTCTTCGCTGAAGGGGGCGGGTCCTACTTGGCTCTCCAGGAGGTGTTGGCCCGGTGGGCGTCCCACGGTGCTGAGTCAGCACCCCAGCCACCTGGCTTTGCTGGTGTGATCCGCTTATCTCGCACTGTGTTGGGTGCACAGCACTGCGGAAAGGACTTCGGGGGACGCGTCAGCCCACAGACGTCCTTTGCACGTTTGGGAACCTCAGTTTTCCCATCTGCAATATTGGGCACATTGGTGTCTCCTGTTTTGAGATGTGTCGAGATTAAAGGGAAAATGGGATGGAAAATGGTTAGACTCTTAAGATTCCAGTGTACAAGTTCCTTCTGAAAGTGGATAGTGCACACGCGCACACACACACACGCACACACACACATATGCATAGTCAAGCCTGGTGCCTTGCCTAGAGGGCAGGACTTGTGTAGTAAGGATGGGGTGTGCTTTGTTTAGTTATAAAAGCTTTATTGAGCTGTAAGTGACACTATAGATTTTACCATTGAAACGGTACAGTTCTGCAGGCTTTCATATATTCACAGCATATCCATTGTCACAACAGTTCTAGACTATTTTTCTCATAAAGGTTGCCCTCCAACTGGAGGCAGGTTGTGGGTCATTAGGCGTACAGTGGGCAGTGCTGGGGACCAGGATACCAGTGCAGTGACTGCTGGCAGCCATGGTGGGAACATCATGAGGGGACTGGGGGAGGGGGCGGCGTAACACTGAGTGGTCACTGGGATGGTGGGGAGGAGGCTCTCCGTTCCAGGACAGGAACAATGGCTAGGGGGTACCCCGAGGAAGCCCCTCCCCTAGCCTGCCATGAAATGGGAAGATGGACCACAACAGCTGTCCGTTTGGTTCTTGATGTGGCCACACCAATTGAGCTCCCCTGTACTGGAACCCAGTGTCCCCGCTCCTGAGCTCCCCTGTACAGGAACCCAGTGTCCCGGCTCCTGAGCTCCCCTGTACTGGAACCCTCAGTGTCCCCGCTCAGTGTCCCTGCTCCTGAGCTCCCCTGGAACTCTCAGTGTCCCTGCTCAGTGTCCCTGCTCCTGAGCTCCCCTGTACTGGAACCCTCAGTGTCCCTGCTCCTGAGCTCCCCTGTACTGGAACCCTCAGGGCCCCCGCTCCAATAAGGAGCTGCAGGGGTACAGCAGCTGGGACCCAAACTGAAGAGTCCTGTCACCAAGTAGCTATGGGAAGTGTTCTGGTTCCTTCCTTCTTAGGCCTCAGTTTCCCCATCTGTACCATGAGGAGTGGACTTTAAGATCCAGCAGCCTTCCCAGACTATTCTCTGTCAGGGATGTCCTCTCTGGGAGCCATCCCCAAAGGCAGGCACATTTGCACTCATATCCCGACACCCTCCCTGGGCCTTTTTCTTAAATCCACCAGCTACCTCCCCTCTGGTCCCAAGCTGGCAGCTGAGTGTTTCTGAGTCACAGGCTGGCTCAGAACTGGGTCCCGCAGTGGGCACAGACCCAGACCTTGGGTCCTAAGGGACACAGCATTGCCAAGAGGCAGGTCAGAAGCCGCTGTAGAGGAAGACGGGCAAGACTCCGAGGAGGAGGTATTGTGAGTTGTTGGTCCTTGAAGGGTTGTTGTGGTTGATGAATTCTAGGTGGTAGACAGCTGAGCAAAGGCAGGGACTGGAAAGCCAGAGCTTCATTCATTCATCCATTCATGCATTCATTCAGTAAGTGATTATTTGTGTCGTCGAGGGCACTGGGGAGACAGCAGAGAACACAAGACCCGTCACCTCTCCCGGATCTCTACAGTGAGTGTGAGGTGGAGTACAGACTAGCATCCAGCCAGTCACAGTAGTGATTCCTAAGGGAAAGCTGTGGGAGGGGGAGGCTCCCTGGGAGGGCTCCCCTTGGCGATAGCCACACTGAGACTTGAAATGAGTGGTGTTCATCCCAGAGGGAAAGACAAGAAGGCCACCCACTGCATTCAGGCACAGCCAGCAGTACATTCAGGGGGCCCGAGACAGGCAAAGCAGATGAGAGGAGAGGAGAGGGGTGGGGGACGGGGATAAGGAGGGAAGTAGGGGGCTGGGTCTGCTCCAGGGCCCAGAAACTGCTGGACTCTGTTCTGAAGGCAGACGGCTGGAGGTCACATGCCTAGCAGAGACTTGATTGCCCAGCTCTGGTCGTGGCTGTGACTTCTAGGTAGTCATGTAGGGGAGCGCAGAGGGAACTTTGTCACGTGATAGGACCAGCAGCCAGGACACTGCAGACGGCCCCAGGCCCACTCTAACCTACACAAAGGTGTGCTAAGGCTGACGCTTTTCCTCGTGTGCCACCTGCTCATTTCCCCACGGTGACTCTGAGAATCAGAGAGACTGGGGACGTGCCCAGTCTCAAGGGAGAGCTGGGGCCACTGGGTGTACCGTGTCTGTCAGCCCTGAGGAGGCACAGGACCTTCCCTGTCTTTTCCCTTCCTCCCAGAGTACGCTGCCATCAACTCCATGTTGGATCAGATCAACTCGTGTCTGGACCACCTGGAGGAGAAGAATGACCACCTCCATGCCCGCCTCCAGGAGCTGCTGGAGTCCAACCGGCAGACACGCCTGGAATTCCAGCAACAGTTTGGGGAGGACCCCAGTGATGCCAGCCCCTAGCTGCCAGGAGCCCCCAATCAGGCCCCACCCTCACCTCTTTAGGCCATGTTCTGGCCTGGGTAGATACTACCTGGCTTAGACACCATCTCAGGTACTGGCCTTCAGATCCCCAGTGGGTCTACCAGCCTGGACCAGGCCCCACTGCCCATCATCCCTTCTGGAGCCAGGTGTGATCCTACAACTTACTTGTCTGCCTGCCCACCTCTCGCCCCCCTCCCCTCCCCTCCCCCCAGGACTGAGTGTCCATATTAAAGAGATCTCCCACACCACTGTCCCTCTTGTCTCTCTCTCTCTCTCTCTCTTTTTTTTTTTTTTTGGTTTTTCGAGACAGGGTTTCTCTGTGTACCTTTGGAGCCTTTCCTGGAACTCACTCTGTAGCCCAGGCTGGCCTCGAACTCACAAAGATCCGCCTGCCTCTGCCTCCCGAGTGCTGGGTTTAAAGGCATGTGCCACCACCGCCCGGCCCCTCTTGTCTCTTTGTGCCAGGGTTAAGGACCCCAGTAGCCCCTGGAGGCAAATGGAGCAGGCTGTGGCTCGTGGGCATGTGATAGGGCTGGGGTTCTTTTGTTTCTGATCCAGGGGTAAAGGCAAGGTCAGGGCTTCCTCCCTAGCCTGTGTGCTGCCGGCCAGCAGCTGCTTCCCAGCCTGGCTGAGTCAGACATGCTGTGTGACTGTGAGATATATTCAGCCTCTCTGGGCGCTAGGGCCTTTCACCACGATGACCGCCTCTAGGGTCTGACTGTAAACCTTGGGGCCTTCCACTCTAGCCCTAGTCTTCCCAGCTGGCACTGACAGCCAGGCTGTTTTATCTCTAAGTGAGAAAACAGAGCTAAGGCTGGGCCCCTGCACGGCTCATCTGTCTCTGGGTTAGGAGGGCTGTGCCCTCTTGGCAAACCAAGAGCTGAACCTCAGCAGCAAGGACCCCCGCCCCCCAATCCTAACTCCACGTCTGACTCTGCAGCTGGATAGAGGCCAACACAAGAGCCAAGAATGTACACCTAGGGTTAAGTCCTGGCTATTTGCAAGTCACATGACCCTGCTAAGGCCTCAGTTTGTCTATCTGCAACTGGGGGTAGAAGCAAGACCATCTGCTAGGTTACCAGCCATAAGGATTCTCTCAAGTTGCCTTCCTAGCCCTGGTACTCGAAGAGGTAAACTGAGGCTCAGAGAAGAGAAGTGCCTTGTCGTCCTATTCCGGCAGGGAGCCTGATCTTGGCTTCCCTGGTCCTCCACCACACTGTGTCCAGAGAGACTAAGTTCCCCTCCCTGTATCCACCCCGACACAGTGCTGGTGGGGACCGCAAAGCCAAACAACTCTTTATTGGATTTGGAGTAAAAACACCAACATGTGAACATTTCCACGCAGATACCTAGAAGGCATTAGCAGATCAGGCCCTAGGCATGCTGGGTGGCCGGAACTCCCTCTATCACGTTTTGAGGCGAGTTGAGCGCCGAAGGGCAGGAGGGGGGTTGGGGGATCCAGGCTTCACCTTGCTGGGTAGTTTCGCTGTGTCCTGGGGGTTTGGCTGGCTGAGCGGGCGGCCACTGCCACTGCTAGAGGTGAAAAGTGCAGTCAAGGCATTTCGGGCATTGATCGCACACTTGCGGCTCACGGGTCGGCTGGCTGGGCTGGGGTTCTTGGCTGCCTTGTATTTCTAGATACGAAGGGCCAAAACAGCAATGATTTGTTGTGTGACCCTGTCTGAAGCTCTTAACGTCTCTAGGCTCTGGAGTCACCC